AGTGAGTATGAATAAGAATCACCTAGGAAACTTGGTGAAAAGCAGAGGCAATGACCCTGCTGTACTTCGACAAGTCTACTCTCTGTACTCTTTTTATTTCTCACAAAGAATGCTTTTAATGTTTCATTAATATAAATGATGCTTCCTCTATTTCCTTTCTTTGTGGTTGGTTTGTTATGTTTTGGTATGTTCTGTTTGCAAATACCCTTTACTAAATTAAATCATTTCTTTCTACTTCTAGGTTACTAAGTGCTTATAATAATTGGATAACATTTTTTGCACCTATTAAAATTATTGCATGACTTCCCTCTATTTGACTAGTAATGTTAAAATAAATTTAACTTTCTAATGTTAATACCTTGCATTATTGAATATATCATTTGTAATGATATAGTATTGTTTTTATACTCTGTTAAATTTGATTAGCTTCTCTTTTTGCTTATGTTGGTATTTTAAATATATATTTTTTTTATTGATTTCAGAGAGAGGGAGAGAGATAGAAACATCAGTGATGATAGAGAATCATTGATTGGCTGCCTCTTTCACATCCCCGGGGTGGGGGGAATGGAGATTGAGCCATGGCCTCCAGTTCTTAGGTTGATGCTCAACCACTGAAACACACCAGTCTGGGCTATGTTGGTATTTTAGATAGAAACTTCTAAGTGCTGCTTTGCTTCACCTCACACTGTATTTATTCCTACCCCCACCCCCACCCCTTTGGCAACCATCAGCTCATAGATTTCAAGTTCTTTTCACAATTCTGCTTCTTGGCACTTGACCAGCTCTTCATGAATTCGAATCCTAAGAGGGTTAAGGGATTTAGAATCAAACTCCCTGCTTTGACTTCTCACCTGTGTCTCCTGTTTGCACCCCATGTTTGGTTTTGACTATTTTGATAACCTCTGGTTCCCCGTTTGAACATCACCTGCACAATGACCCAGTTCACTTTCTGTCATTGACTTTGATATCGCAAACTTCCTCCTATTCCCTGCTCTTTCTCCCAATTTATAACACAATGGCTCAGAAGGATGGATTTAATCAAATAATTACAGAAAATATAATCAGTTGTAACTTGGTGACTCTGACCAAATCACCTCACTTCTCATAGTTTCCTTATCTGTAAAGTGAGAGGTTGAGTCTAGATTATCTTTAATCTCCTTCCATCTCCAGCATCCTGTCATTTGTATCCGGATTGTAAGGCTGAGCTGGCAGAAGTGTATAAAAATAATCACAAAGGAAGTGATGTCATCTATTCTATGATTAAGGAAAATAATTCCCTGAAGTCATATCGGCTCCCATTCCCTTTAAAAAGAAACTTGAAACTCTAAGCCTGAAACCTAAAGAATCAAATGTGTGTATCAGAATCAAGCTAAAAGAAAGCTCAAATGCAGAGCAATGGGTTCCATAGTCATTGAGCTAGTCAGTCTTGATCAAGCTTCTCTTATGAACCCTTTTATGAAAGAGATATTCAAATTCAGATACAATGATGGCTCAGGTGACCTCTAAATACAAAGGAGGGAGTTTGATTTTAAATCCCTTAACCTCTTAGGAGCGATAGAGAGTAGCTGGAAACAAAGACAGAGGCTCCCATTAATAAAGATGGACCCAAATGACAAAAAATAAAATAAGAGCCAACAATGCAGGAGAAAGGGAGATTTCACTGTTCCTTTTTTCTTTCTCCCAAGGTGTACTGCGCCTAACTGTGTGAATTAATCCACTTGCCAAGTGGGTCTTAGAACCAAAAGAGAAATAATGCTGTACCTTTTAATCACTGACATGGAAGATATAAATGGCAGGTTTAACGTTCTTTCTAGAGTTAAAGAGAAAATTGTGTTAGATAAATGAGATCCCAGAGCCCTCATGTCACTAAGCAGATTAGCATTGATGGAACCTTGCAATTGTATCCCAGTGAGATGCACTAGAGTCCAAGGAGGTCAGTCCTTTTTGAGTATTAATAATCTGTAAGTTTTTCACAAGTACAAGAAATTAAGCAAACGTGGTATATCTTGAAGTAGTACATGCACACACATGTGCGCACACACACAAATATATTTTGAGAAGCATAAAGTAAACAGAATACCAAAAGGACAGAAATGAACCTAGAAAATCCTAAAAGAGAATGAGAAATCACTAAGGATTCTCAAGCTTTTTCTAAAACCAAAATGATTTTTCTTTAAAGATAGATAACCCCATCCTACTAATGAATTAATTCTCGTGTTATGGCATCGGTTCTTAAACTGGGGCACATAGAGACACAATAATAAAGGTATTCTTTGGTGATGAGTAGTTTTCAACCATAAATATATTCAATACATATTTATTGAATGGATAGGGAATATTAACTGAAACTTCCCAATGTGCCAGGTATGTCACTCAGTACCTTACATATTTTGAGCCATTTCAAGATAACCCTGTGAAGTATGAACTAGTGGCCACATTTCAGGTGAAGAAGTTGGCATAGAGAGCTTAGGAAACACACCCAAATTTCATAGTTTAGTCAATGTTCTGAACTATGGTTGATCCATCAGCAGGAGTAAAAAAGGTGCCCCATCCCTATTCATGTCTGGAATTAGATAAATTGATAAACTGAGAGGGGCCTGGAAACATTCGTGAGAGGTAGGCAGGCATTTAAGGCCAGGTAGTACAGTGAATTGTTAAAAATAAGAACTACTGCCTGGTGGAGGTGGTTCAATGGTTGAACATCGACCTATGAATCAGGAGATCATGGTTTGATTCCCAGTCAGGGCACATACCCAGGTTGTGGGCTCGATCCCCAGTGAGCAGCATGCAGGAGGCAGCCAGTCAATGATTCTCTCTCATCATTGATGTTTCTATCTCTCTCTCCCTCTCCATTCCTCTCTGAAATCAATAAAAAATATTTAAAAAAAATAAAAGTACTTAATATTATACCTTATTTTTCAAAATATTTAAACACTAATCGAGTGTGGGCACTGATTGGTCAATAAATGGTGCCAGCCACATTACTAGTCAGTCATCTCCAGGCCACCAATGGCATATCCTAGAATTAACATCTTTCTCCCTTTTCACTTAGGAAAGGAGCCTGGTGCTGTGGAACAAAACAGCTTTTACAGCCCAGGCACATCGAAGGGGATTCACCTCTCTGGCTTCCAGTGGAGGTTTGGGGGTTCATTGGGTGACCTGGGTCCATTGGTGGGCGGTCCATCAGTGGGCTGTCCATCGGTGGGCAATGGCTGCTGGATGTCTGTCAGACCCAGTGGAAAACACCAGTTTAAAGACTATATTGTAGACTTGCCTACAGCTTTTCCAAATTGAATAATAAGAGGCAAAATCAAGGGGTTCCTACATTCCCCTGGAGCCAGAGGCCCTTGTGCCTGGCAAAGAGGTTGTCAGTGTCTCCCTGAAGTGAGTCTGGGTGTGTGTCTGATGTGTGTGTGTGTGTGTGTGTGTGTGTGTGTGTGTGTGTGTGTGTTGTAGTGGGGGAAGAGGAATGGAATCAAAGAAGTTCCCCCCAAGCCCCCAAAATGTCTTTGAAATTTCATAAAACCTTTGAAATCTCATGAAATCTTTAAAAGCCATTCTCATTTATAATTCTTCCTCATAATAGGTCAGTCCTTTACTTAATACAAAAATTCCCTCCTGACATATTCAGTAAATCCGACACTCCAGAAAGAGGCCCATGGTTATCTAAAGCTTCATGAACCCCAGTTTAGAACCATATCTGGAACCTTGTGCATGTGTATCTCAAAAGAGGAACAGGGCTGGTGGAGAGATCACTGTTTACCAAGTGAGGCTGTGTCCCACACACCCACAGTGCCTGGTACGCTGAGGATGCTCTGAACAAGCCAATGAAAAAAATAAACGAATCAATCAATCAATGAACATATGAGCAAAGAGGTGGTGACTCCTTGTAGAATACCAGTTTCAAGGAGGCCTACTCATGTTTGTTATGACCTGTCTAGACTGCAGAATGTGAGAATTTTCCCTGAAGCCCAAGGCACCAGCCAAACACTTTCAGAACAGACCCTGGAGATACTACATGATGAATCTAGCAGGAACAATTAATCACCTGGGAAAACAGAGCCTGAACCTGAGAGACGAAGCAGCTGACAAGAGGGGAATTCTATATGGAAAACACGGGTGTTAAACACCCACCGCCTGTGGCAGAAGAATAAATCATGTTGCCAAGAGCAATTGGAAGATAAGGGAAGGTTAAGGAGAAGAGAACTGGAGATCCAGAAACCACAGAAAACTTTCTCAGGTGGAAGGGGCCATCACACCACCTGGGCTGGGACCCTCCCAACCTACAGAGGGAGATACACCAGGTGCCCTGAAGTCAGCGGTGGTGACCCAGCTCAAAGCCAAATGATGAGAAGGCTAACAAAGGGCAAGAACAGAGGCCTCCTCTCCTCAAAGGGCTGGGCAATTGCCTGGCAGAGTGGTATAGAGAAGGGGAAGAACTGCCGTGCAAATTCAGCTACTTGGCAGCCAAGTAATTGCATGCCCTTTTTTACCCCAGTGTGGAATACTTGCATTTTCGTGAACTTCAAACATGAAGAATGTAGCCTTTGTGCACTCTGTGAACTTTCAAAGTAAAAATAAGAAACAGTCAATAAGATTATGACTGTTTTGTAAATTTGTAATCTGCCTTGATTCCTGGGCTAGAATTTGATGTATGTGGATTCTAACGTCTAAAAACCTGGGTCAATTATTACAAAATGTCCAGAATTGTCATGTCTATTCTAGGAGACCGAAAGTAGATTAGTGGTTGCCCAAGACAAGGAGGGAAATTTGGGGGAAGTGGGAGTTTCTTTATAAGATGATGAAAATGTTCTAAAATAAAGTGTGGTGATGGTTGCACAACTGAGAACATAATGAGGATCTTTGGATTGTTCACACTGAGAAGGTGAGTTCTATGTGACTTATATCTCAATAAAGCCATTAAAACAAATCAAGAAAACCCTGGGTCAGGTCCTAACTGTGCCACTTACTAGTTATATGCCCTTGAGAAAGCCACTTACCTGTATCTCTGTTTCCTCATCTGTAAAGTGGGGATGAGATGACAGCACCAGCTATCTCATAAAGGAGATATGAATCCTCAGTGAGATCACACCTGTGATGAGACTGCACACAATGTCCTGTACATGGTCGAGATGAAATAAATGTCAGCTACCTGTCCACTTGTCCCAATGTAACCAATAAATGAATTCATTTGAGAAGTGAGTTGGGGGCAGTTAGATTGATGGTTCCCCATAGCGGGCACTCAGGCCTCCAGAGAGCCTAGAAATTAGTCACTGGGCTTCCTCTGGCTATTTCCTGCAGGAGACCCTACCTAAAGTTGCAGTTATCTGAGATCAGGCTGCCCCTGACTGCTAAACACATCAATTTTTTTTGCTTTGGGCTAAAAGAGATGAACTCAGCACGGTTATTTGCCAATCAAAAGTTCAGCGTGGCCATTATGTAAGTCTTTGGTTAATTATGTAATTATTACTTGGTAAATGCTGTTCATCTGAAAGTGAAAAATCTTTCAAAACTCAGGGCCCAGGAAATGAACTAATAACAGGGTTTGAGTGGTGAAAGGGTTGAGAACCACTGAACTGGTGCCTCTGAGCTCTGTTGTTTGGGTAGAGATTTGGAGGATGGGTGTTGGCAGCGACAGGGAAGAAAGGCGTTCCTGTCATTGCATGGTGCTGGAAGGGCAGCTCGGGTGACAGCTTGGAGCACAAGAGGCCTGGGGTGTGTGGGGAAGAGAAAAAGGCCTCCGACTCCCATCTGGCTCTTTCTCAGCTGCTGAGACCTAGTTCAGGCTGCAGGATCCAGGGCGTTTTGAAAGCCACTCGAGGTAATCAGCTCACATTCCTGTCACTAAGGTATTCTTTTATTTGGTGATGCAGCTGAGGTCAAAGCCATTGCCTCAGTCACTATTGTTTCATAACAAACAGAGCCTTAACATGGCCTGCTCTGCCTCCTAAATCAACTCGTCCGAAGCACTTTGAGTCTCCCACGGCGTCTGCCAGGCTCAGCAGCCAGGTTGGCTGCCAGGAGGAAGCCCACCTGGGGACTTTGGTTCCAGGTGGGTCGGATCCTGCTCAGGGCGCTCAATGCCCCTGCTGGCGACGTACACGGCACCTTGGACACTGGCCCCTTCCCGGGCTTGGAGCTGCTCCTTTATGTGTCAGCTGGCAGAGAAAGACTTCTGTCCATAGAAGCTTAAAGTATGAAAAGGGCTGACAAAAAAAAGAAAAGAAAACGGCTGACAGCTGTGTTCCAAGTGGTTTCCTATACGGCAGTTATGCACTTAATGACTCGCCATGGTCCTTGGACTGATCTTCAGTATTAAAGTAACACAGAGAGAGCAACTTAACCCGGTCACGTGACTGATGCATAAAGCCATTCTCCTCTTGTAGATGGATCTGGCAGGGAAACTCGCCAGCTGTGGTCCTGAATCAGGACAGAGAAGAGTTAGGCAGGTGAAAGGTGAAAGGGAATTGTTAAGACTGCATGGTGCAGCCATCTCCACCAGAGAGGGTCTGACTTAATAGTAGGCTGAGAACCCTTAAAAGATGATGACTAACACTCCGGCCCCACTGCCAACCAAGACAGCATCAGATGGACGTGCCCACCTTTGTCTCAGTGCTTCTCCTTCTTTTTAGTTTTCATGGTGACTGTGCCCTTGCAATCGATTGACATCATTTATCTTTAAATGCATTAAAATATGTAATCAAATTGGTCAAATCTCAGAGGCTTGAAAGCCAAGCTGTTTCTCTCAGATTCTGCGCATAACTGTTGGGATCCAGGTGGACCCTCCAAAGATAATTTATCTTCCTATTCTTTGAGGGGGTCTCACTGCAGCCTCCGAGCATTAAAAAGAGCAGACTAATATTTCCCGAGTGCCTACAATGTGCCAGGCATGATGCTAAGGACTTGGCATGTGCTTACTAATCGAGTCCTCATTAAGCCTCATGGGAGTCTGGTATCATCCCCCTTACAAATGAGGAACTGAGGCACAGAGAGGCTAAGTAACCTGGCAAAGGGCGTGCAGCTCCTCAGTGGAGGAGGCAGTCTAGCTTGAGTGTGGCTCTTCCACAAAATACCACGTGCGGGCGCGCATACAGTGTGATTAACACTTCGTGGCCCATGCGCAGAAGTCGGTTTTCAGCCTGGGCGAGTCTGTTTTGAGGAAGTACTGTTGATATTTGGCTCTATTGACTAATGAGTTTGCTGACCACTGCCCTAACCTGATGTGCCAAAGCACTTAATCACAATCATGACTTGAGAGGTCTTTCCCAAGGAAAAAAAATTAACTGGATTTCCAGAGATAACAGATGGATTTTGCTGGAGACTGGAGATTGTTGAGTGTTGAGTCTGGTCTTGATGAATGAGTAGAATATGCAGAGACCAACCTGGAAAGGGGAAGGCGATGTAGCTAAGGCCTTGGTCCTGGGAGTGGCCTCCCTTCCTGTCTGGTTTGGATTCCCTGTTTTGCAGTTTCTCCTTGGACTTGCGGCATTATTCATTCAGGAGACTTGTGTTGAGTTCTTTCTATACAACAGACACTAGGACGCCAAAAAAAGACACAGTCATTGCCCTGTCCTGTGAGGACCTTCCAAATATGGTAAGAGATTCCCACTTGCTTCTACCTACATTATCTAATTAATACTCAGAATCACCCAATGAAATATGCAAGGTGGGAATTGATATACCCATTTTATAATTGGGAATACTGAGGCACAGAGGAGCTAATTGCTCTGTCCCATGTCTCCAGCATTCATACTCACTAGAACAGCCGTGGGCAAACTACGGCCCGTTTGAAATGAATAAAACTAAAAAAAAAAAAAGACCGTATGCTGGGGTCCGACCCCAGCGGGTCCAGGGGTCCCCAAAGGTGTGGACGGAGTCGGCGAAGAAGGAATGACACGGAGACAGCGTTCAGT